AGGGATGAAGGAAGGAGAAGAGAGATGGAAGAAAGAAGGAGAGAGAGGGAAGGAAGAGAAGGGAGGAAGGAAGGGAAAGGAAATTAGAGTAGGAGTGAGGGTAAGAGAAGGAGGAAGAGAGGAGGAGAAGGAGAAAGGAAGAGGAAGTAGGGAGGAGAAGAAGCGGGTGGAAAGAAAGTAAGAAGGAAAGAAAAGAGAGAGGTGGTAGGTTTGAGGAGAAAGATTGCTGTACAGTAAAAAAGATGAAAGGGAAGAAAGGCAGCCCAAACAAATATAAAGATATTAAGTTAAAGAATGAATTGTTAAACTTTAAAGAATAAAAGAGAACAAATATGAATAAATAGCAATAATTAGAAACACACATACAAACATACAATTTATTTTCTTTGAACAGAGTATTTGGCCAGTTCACAAATTTAAACAGTGTTTAGTCATTTCAATTAAATTTACAATTTCTATATTTCCTTTTTGCCATATTTATTCCTTATCTATTTTTTTAAAAAAAACCAATATTACCCTTTATCCTCATCTCTAATCTTAATCAAATTCAATTTTTCCCTTCTATTCTATATTATACCACTTCCCATTGTCATCTATTTTTATATCCATCCTCACATTGGTTAATTATGTAATATTACAGTTGTTTAATATAAATTCAACATTTTAATATAAATCAATTAGTTATATAACTATCTTTTTGTATATTAATCAATATGAATATGAATATTCCAATTATTTCCATGCAATCCAATTTCTTACAAATCAATTAATTATATTTACCAATAATAATAAACCAAATAATTTCCCCCATATATTCCTCCAAACCACAACTTAACCATTTCTGCTTTCCACACAATATACAATTAATAGTATCTCAATTATTACAATTCCCTAGTTAAATAGAGCTTTTTTTCTTTTGTGTTTTAAAATCTTGAACTCTCCTCCTTTTCCCTAAATTTCCCATTGTTTGCACCTACCATTTTTGGTGAGGAAAAAGAAAAGAAATCTGCCTGCCTAATTTTCCAACGTTGCAGCAACAGCAAAGCCAACAGCCTGCTTTACTTTCAGTTTCGTTTTTCAGCATAGCTAGGGGAAAAAAAATCTGCTCCAGCACTCTTTGCAACAAGCAGCAGAGCCCTGAGCAAAACAGCTGAGAGCAAATCAGCTGAGAGTCGGGAGGCTGATCTAATTAACGGGCTAATTAGCCTATGCTGAAGCTCCAGGAGCCAATAAAATTACAAAAAAACACCGAACCATTTGTTAAATTGCTGGCTCGCCCACCCTTCGCCCACCACTATTTATTGGCAATAAATAGTGGTGTGGAGGGGCGGGGCAAGGGGTGTGGCGAGCCAGCAATTTAACAAACAGTTCGGCGGAACCACCTAGAACCGGCAGAATCCCACCACTGCCCTTAATTCAGGTTAATGTCAGGGCAACTGGGTGAATCCAAGAGTTTACTGGCCAGATGCCCTTCCTGATGCCTATGCAGAGTTCACAGCAGACATTTTTTCTTTGCGTCCCACTATAGGAAAAAAATCTGCCTCTATCTAGGATTGAACTCTCAATCTTCTGAGTGGGATGCACTAATGTGTTCAACATTAGGTCATGCCACTCTGAAAACTAAATATCAACAACTCTCCCATAATACTGATAATTCCTTTCCTTTCTTCATGAGAAGGGGGACATATTTGATTCTATTCCTCCTTAGCCCAATGGATTCTGTCCAATAGATTTTTAAGTAGCAGATGCTATCTTTTTCATTACTTGTTGTCTGCAGTTGGCAGCATATCAAACTAGCACCTAAACTTATTGTAGATCTAATCAGTATTTGGGAAAAGAGAGATTTACCCACAGTTTTAATTTGTCAGTTAAATAGCAATGTGCTTGGCGGCACCAGCTATAGAATTTAAACTGTGTTCCTCTTGATGCCCTTGGGAGTGTTAAAATTAGATTTTTTAAAAATTTCTAGGTCATTGAGCCTTGATTTCAAATTTGTAAATAAATGGTAACAACCAGGATGACCTATTGGAGTCCTATGGGGATGTTACTATTTTAATTTTACCATATTAATTTTAAAATTATTATTTGAAATCTTATGTAAAATAGTAATCTGGGAAACTCAGTGTCCAGCTACTTTACTGAGGGGAGACTCCACCTACTGATGGAGAAAAAATTATGTTCCTTTTTTGTCTACTTTTTTTTTTTACTTTAATTTTTATTACAAGGCCAACTTTGTCATATTAGATATCGAGCCGACCTCTTTTTGCAACAGATTTTGGAACATCCTTAATATCCAATAACTTATCAATATTGTCATGTGCCTTAAAATAGTTTATTTCATCATGAAATGAGTTTCAGGTAGTCTTAATTGAATAACTACTCATTTGGTGACTGGCTGAAGTTATAGTGGCATTGGATGAGGGTGATTACATCAGGTCCTCATGGTTGTAGCCGTTGTAGCACCGTTCTGGTCCTGTGATCATGATTTGGGCATTTGGCAAACAGCTCACAATTATACCATTGCAGCATTCCATACTCACATCGCCGCCATTTGAAACCTTCCTTGCTGGCTTCTGACAAGTGAAGTCAATGAGGAAGCCAGCAGAGAAAGTCACAAAAGGTGATCACATAATTGCAAGACACTGCAATTGTGCCGGACTTACCTAATGAGAGCAACTAGGTCTCCCACAACTGCCATCATGTTAATGCAGTCATGTGTCATCACACCACACAACATTGCTTAGCAACAGAATTGCTGATCACTTTACCATTGTTAAGTGAGGACTATGCATATGGAGTTTTGACTCAGATTCTAAATCGTTTGAGTTTTTGCTTCAGCATAATCATGTTATTTCATGGAGTGAAATTATTTATTTATAATATCCTATAACTGCTTTTATTTATAATATAAACAATAACTTAATATAACACTTGTCACTATTTATGTTTTGTAGGACCTCAGCATTACACTTTCATTATGTTACAGTTATTTCAAGTGGGAAAACAAAGGCCTGTAAAAGAAATTTGTGCATTGTTGACCCAAGGGCAATTACTGGGTCCACCCCAGGGGTGAAATGCTCAGCTGATTGTCCGAACTTTTTTTTTTTTTTTACTTTTTAAGCATTTTTTTATTACTGGTTCGGGAAAATAGGTAAAAAAAAAAATAATTTAAAAAAAAAAAAAAAAAAAAAAAAGGCTCAGACAATCACGGGGCACAGCACAACATTTAACATTTAAATATCCTGCTAGGTTCAATTAAGGTGCTGATGACCTTCACTGATAAAGTCTCACTTAATTTTTTTCTCTCACAACTGTTTTTGATTTTCTTGAGTACCAGCTTTATGTCACGAAACAAAATTTCTATATTAGCCATCTTCAGATGCATTCTAGATGTATTAATTAGACAATAATCCTCACTGGTGTTGTTAGATGAGGATGTAAATATTAGTCTAACATAATAGGAAGGCACTATATTTAGAAAATATGGCTTTAAATCAATTGCTGTTAGGCTGTGAAGGAAGTCTTTACGAGATTCTTAGTGCTGCCTTATCAGCATTCTGGATTAAATAAAAACATGTCTGCTATTTTGCCTGTCACACATTTTGCTTGTTTTCATTTGTGATAGTTTTAGGTAAAGCTAACTGCTTCATATATCTATAAGTTGCAAACAAGTTTCAAATGGAATATAAATGTATTCTTGTTGAATCTTAGTTTTTTTTTGAAACAGATGGTATACGGGATGGTAGAATTTTTTTCATGTTGGTTTCACTGCTATCTTTAATGTGGGATACAGGAAATCCACATTAATTAGTATTTGCATTATAAAAGAAGTAGCAGGCAATTGAACTGCTATAAAACAAATAACAATTAAATTTAAATTTACAGAGGAGACTGTGAAATAATTGTTTGTTGTTTGCAGATTTTATTGAACTCTTGAATATTCTGTTAATGTAACCTTACGATAAAAGCAGAATTAGTTCATCTAGTCATATTATCTTGGAGGGACTGACTTGCAAGTTTCTGTTAATATAACTGTCAGGGTTCCAAGTAAGAGCCCATAGGAAATCATGACTCCAAGGCAGGGTTCCTCAAAGTATAGATTTATTAAGCATGTCAATATGACACAGCTGACTGAAGCAGTTGGCGTGAGCTTAAATGGTCTCTGGGAGATGGTAGAGGACAGGAAGGCCTCGAGGAAAGTTGTCCATGGGGTCGCAATGGGTCGGACACTACTTCGCAACTAACAACAACAATTGGCACAGCTGATGAAAACCCAAATCTGAAGTTCCCCGGGTTTTCCCCAGTCAGTTCAAAATCCAAAGTTCTTCCCCACATTACACACAACCATCACATGCCCCAATCAGGTCTCTCTCCTCATTCCTCCCTTTCAAGTCCCTCCAGGTGCTGGTGAGAGTGTCCTTGGTTCCCAGAAGAAAGAATGTTATTTTGGCTACATATCCCCCGCAGCTATCTCTACTCCCCCCTCCTTTCCCAAAGCTCCAGCGAGCCTCGCTGTGGCAACCCTAAAGATGCTCCAAAGATGGCTCCAAGATTGACAATAACCTTATAATAAAGTAGAATTAGTTCATCTAGTTGTATTTCCTGTCTGGTTTACCTAAGAGGGCTGATATCAATTTTGCAAGTACAAACTTCCTGCCACCACTTTTAACTTAGGGCGGATGCTTCCTAAATTTCTGTCTCTGAATGTTAGCTCCTTGGGGGCCCCTTCCTATCTTGTCTGATTTTTTTTCATAGGCACCATATCTTTCTCCCATCCCCCAAGGTCATCCACACATTCAATTTCAAATGTAGACTTAAACTAATTAAATAATAAAACACTGCATGATATGTAGAAGTATACTCTAATAATCTAGTTCTGAGGGGTTTTTTTTCTTCTTAAAAAGTACACATAGTATATTTCTCAACAGTATATCTCAACAACAGATTAGATTTGCTCATTTTTTAGCAGAAAGTGTAAACAAAATTGTTTCAAGATTAAATTGCAAACCAAATTTTACACATTTATTCCAAAACTTGGGAATGTCCTTTCAATCTATGAACTAGGAAGGTTTCCTTTGTCTGGTGTCTTTCCACCTAAAAGAGAAAAAAAAAAGGTGTTGCATTTCTACATTCTACTTTAACAGAAGTGTTTAATGAAGATTTTTTGAATAGATTTCTGTCATTTTCACAAAAAAATCAGATCAGACAGCATCTTTTTAAACAAATGTTATTAATGTATATAGCACACGCCTTTTGATGAAATTTGGAAATCAGGAAATATGCTCCCAGTCTGATTTTCTATCATCATAGACTAACATGGCTCTTTTCCTGCAATGGCTTTATTTTCATGAGAAAAAGTTCAGGATCTTATTGTTACGAATACGGATCTCTTTGTTTTATAAATATAGATGCTAAGATTTCACAGCTATCTTGGACTACAGAAATTATTATCTGTGCTTGGGTTGTATGACATTGTCAAGGTGGTGATCTAATTGATCTAATTGCTTTAACTCATCATCACCAAAATCCAAAAGTTTTTTTCATGGGGTAAGGGAAGCATCGACTGCTGAGAAAGTTTTTAATATGGTTTCTTAAATCCAATAGTTAATTGGCTGATTGAGTTGGCCTGGAGGACTATGTTTTGTTTAATTCCTAAATAATTTATAATTATTAATGGTGGTGTCATTAGCTTTGTTAAAGTGTTTAACTGGTTTTAAAATCTTTTACTGGTGCTAATAGGAAATGGATTATACTAACAGAAGCTTTGAATGAAAATCTGTTATGTCCAGATGAAACTTCCAATCCTGGACTCCTTTTGATAATTTTTTATTATTCAGATTTTTGAAAAAGATGCAATGGTTTACATTTGTGTGTGTGTGAGAGAGAAAGAGTGAGAGTGCGTGAGAGAGCTGTATTCCAATAGTAATTTTAATTGTATTGGCATTACATGTTGTCTCTCTGTACCTCTGTCTCTCTCTGTCTCTTGGTCTCTCTCTCTCTCTCTCTCACACACACACACAAGGTATGCATACATCTTGAGTTAATAGCAATAGCAATTAGACTTATATACCTCCTCACAGTGTTTTTACAGCTCTCTAGAAGCAGTTTACAGAGTCAGCATATTGCCCCCAACAATCTGGGTCCTCATTTTATCCACCTTGGAAGGATGGAAGGCTGAGTCAACCTTGAGCCTGATGAGATTTGAACTGCTAAATTGCAGGCAGCCAACAGGCAGCAGAAGTCATTTCAATCATTTGAAATTTGCAGAAGGCATTCTCTGCTTTTCTTTAACTTGTTTTAATGACAAAAAGGGCAAAGAAAAAGACCTAGAAAAAAAATACATTTAATTTTTGAATGCTATTTTGCTTGTGAGTTAAATTTCATGTCCTTTTTCTTCCTTTTCTACTTTCTCCTTTGTTATATTATTCATTCATTCTAGTTAGATATGCTCCTCCACTCAACCACACCACACCTCTACTTTTTTAATTAGTTTGATGAAATAAAACAAATTATTACCTGGATTCAGGGCAAGTCATTTGTAAGACAATTTCAGCCTGTGAAAATATATTGGGAAAGTGATTGTAAAAATATGAGTGTGGACAAGTGAGGATCCAAATTGAATTTGGGGTAGTTCCATGCTTCAAAGATGTATTAATCACTGCTTGGAATGAGAAAGCAATAATGGCTTATACACACATAAACACAAAGAAATGGCAGAGGAAAAAAATCACTTAGTGTTTACAATATACATTAGCAATCTTATTTTCTTTCCACACTATATCCACATGATTTACTGTATCTACTCAGTGTATATTTAAAGCATTCTCATGTGTTTACAATACACAATAATTGAGTTAATTTAAATATTTCCACAAGTCTCATTTTCAAGGCTTGCTGTGTCAGTACAAACTTTCTTTTTTGTGCTGTAAGAATTAATAGCTAAGCCGACTTTATCTTCACCTCTGATTCTCTTGGGAATCTAAAGCTATCTTGTGGTTTTAACAAAAGACTGAAAAGTGCCAGTGTCTTTTTTGTTGTTTTATTTCCAGAATGCTACAGTTTTCTCCATTTGAAAAATAAAGGCAAATACCTTGAAAATTTATTAAGCTTTTCTATAAGAATTGTAGAACTCTGGTTAAGCTTCAGCCACTGTCAGGATCTTATAGATTAAGAGGAGTCAAACATTTTGAACAAGTGAACATAGATGGAGGTCACTTGCAGTTATGATCCACCACCAGATGATGAAATTTATTACATGTTTATGCTTCGCCACTCGGATTATCCTATTGTACATTTGCTTTTTAGTAGGCTGGCAAAGACGGTTATAAATATATCTTCTGGGACTCTCTATGGGGACATGTAAATTTTCATTTATACATTTTTTAATATAAATACTAATATAAACAAACCAGTTATTACAGCTTCTTACTCCTTACATGTTAACAATGTCATCAACAAATATTAAATGTTCAGACTACCAGATCTGGGTTGGATTTAGCAACCTGTAGTATCATACGGGTCTTTATTTTGTTGGCGACTAGACGTTGTCCGCAAGCAAGCCTAATACCTCTTGTATTGATAGCCTGCTGCATCTTCCTCCTGCTTCAAATTTTCCCTTTCCACCCAACCGCAGCAGCTCACACGGCTGATTTACACTTGAGAAAAAGTGAGAATCTCTCGCGAACTGATAAAAAGAATTAATTTAATATAGTAATAATTAATGTAAGAAACCCACTTGCGAAAGCCCAGCGAGAGTGGAATAGAAACAAACTTTTCCTTTCGTGCGGGGTCTGTCTCTTTAAGAAAGACGCGGTAGCTGTGTGGAATCAGCCGTCCGCATTAAGGTAAACTGAGGGCATGAAAAGCAAGACGCGGCTTTCCTTGGAGGAAGAAAAGAGGCGAAGAGGCGGAAGAGAGGAGTAAGCGGAGGTATATTATGGAAGTTCTGTTCTTTGCCTTGCACTCCGCCAAGTGCTGAAATTGAAAAATGCGGATTCAAGCCTTTTTCTTAGCTTGGCTACGTTTCTTCGAAATTGATCCATTTAATCCTTTCAGCTCCGAATAAGTTTCTCGGGATAAAATAAGATGCTAAAATAGATATTTTATATATATTTTATAATATATATATTATAACCCCTTTGGTCAGTCGGTCGGGACTCGTTTGGAGATTTGACCTGTTGTTTGGGACTCGCTTGGAGATTAACGTCGCCATTTATCATCAGGCTGTGTTTGCAGAGACGAGCATTTCGGCTTCTGAATATTGCCACCCTTTTCTGTCTCTTGTTCAGACGTTCAGGGCCCTCTGGTGTTGGTCATTCCGTGCTAGCTGTCTGTAGTATGGAAGGAGGACCCTTCCCCAGTGAGTCCTGGCTTTTAAATTGCTAGATTATGCTAGTTCTCTAAAGAGAGAGCCCAATTATTTATGTTTGTGCAGCAGGAAACAGTTGACTTTTATGTCACCTTAAAGGCCAGCACCGTTATCCTAAAATAATTCCATTGAATGCAATTCATTTGGTGGAGTGGACTTGTCAAAAGAGGATTAGTACTCTTATAAAATGAACAAAGGTGAATTAATAGTTTATAAAGGGGAAAAGTTGCTGAGATACAGCTGAATCTTTTCCCATTGCTCCTCCCTTATAATGGCTTTAATAGGCTGGAAGCTTTGGTTTAAAGTGTATGAAAAGCTGTAGCAACATAAAAGGAATCTTAAAATTTAGAGACATGACCTTTCAGCATTGATTCTGCAGTATTTGAGCAGAGTAAAATTCACCTTTTGAGTCCAGCTGGGAAACTGGGAAGCCCCATTGAAGATTACTGCCAAATAAGATGGTTGTTCAGCCTGCGGTTTGCCAGTTTTATAGCAGGCCCGATCAATATGGTAGTGATGATTTAAATTCAGTTACTTGACCAAGCTCATTAGATTTATTATTCTCGCACAAAAGCGCTGGGCTGTTTAGCTGAAAAAGTGATAAATTATAATGCCTTAAATCTCTGGACTGTTGGTTCAGTCTTTGTCCTTGTTAGTAATGCCTTAATAACCAATTGTGAGTGACACTAATGGCTGCTCCTCTGTTCCAGATTGAGGCATCTTGGCCTCAAATTCTTTACTGCTCTATTTTTTCTGTTGAATAAGTAAGGGAAAGCCAAAACAGACATGTTGACTACAGGGAAGAAAAATTGGTGCTTTATCTGATTATACCAACTGAAATTTCGAACAGTGGCAAACTGGAGGCTCCAATACTTCCTCATCGAGCAACAGAGGTTACATGTGCTATGTCTTTAAAATATGTATCGGATTATACTGTAATCAAAAATAAGAAATCCACACACTTGCAAACTGGCTCCTGTCTAGAAGTGAAATGTGGTTATATTGCCACTTCCCCAAGCCAGGTTAGTTGAATCAAAACTGGGTTAGTTTTTTGCAAATAGTTTAGTTTTATTCTTAGCTATATAGCAAAACAGCAATATACAAATTTTAAATAAAACTTGGAAAATTAGAAGACTAATCTAATAGAAATCAAGAATAAATAAATAATAGGCATGTTTTCCTAACGTTGCATTTTGGTACAACAGCAAATATCACTTCTTATGCTGTTTTGAAAAGACTTGTGTTTTTTTTTAAACTGCTATAAGCAGGAATCTGATTAATAATGGTTTATCTCATTTTAATGTTTTGCTTGATAAACAGATAAAGGAGTTGACTGGGAGAAAAGGCAGCCTGAAGTTATGAAAGCTTAATATAACATTATTAAACATATATGCACTGGGTATCGAAAGTATAAATAGGCATTACCAACCTTGTTAGATCTGTTGTACTGGCAATAATTCTGATTTTTAAAGTGGAGCATATGACCTGTATATGAACTGAGGTGAATTGTTAAGGATATGGAAATATCCTTACTAGATTAAATTCCTTAATGCTTCTTTTCATGCTTCTTTTTAAGAGTAAAATGTGTTAAACTCTGTGAGGTTTACTTCAGAGAAGATAAGGTTTGAAATGTGCTTTATGTTTTTCTTAATGTTCATGATTCCTAGCCATGAAGTTTATGAGATAGTACTTGGATTTTCCCTCTGATTTGGTTTCTGAATAATGAATTGCAACAACCCTTTGCTGTCCTCACAGTTCACTAAGGAAACTTTTTTTAAAAAAAGCATTTCTGTTCTGCCAAAATCAGTTAATAAAATTGTTGTTCTGAAAGAAAAACTTAGTAATGAAATTAATAATATAAATGGTAGATCCTGCAATTTGTATGCATATATGTATGCATAACAAAATCCTCTTATGTTATGAGAAATGATAAAATTCCTACAAAGCCTATTTTTATTTAAAATCCTAATATTGGCATGACTAGGATATCTATTGCATTAAACTTATTATGATATTCTGAGCTTGATTTTTATAAAATTTTAAAATCTTGTTTTCATGGATATGCAACTTGTGTTTAAGGCATGGGGTTGAATCTTAAACATAATAAGGTTATTTTTAAAATGGGGTCATTCTTGAATGATACTAAGAGGCTTGGAGCTTCTGATCTTGGAACCCTTAATGTATATATTCTGCATTTCATATTTTCCTACACAATTAGTTCATTTTTGTTGTATCTAATTTACTGTAATTAATTACACAATTAGTTTGTTATACTATCTTGATAACCATTGTTTTATTTGATGAAGTCCTTGGTGTTCTCTGAGTTTGGTTGTTTGCTTGCAGATATTTTCTTAACCTGACCAGATAAATTTCAATTGTTTGTTGTTATCAGAAAACATCAAGAATGTTATGTTTGTATTCTTCCTGAATAACATTACTAACAATCCTTTTAAGTGCCTCAATCTTTTTTCCTGATGGCCAGCAAGATAAACTCTATAAACTGGACTCATTTAAAGGCATGTGGGCTACCAAGAGGATATATAGATCCCTAAGACAGAGGCTGCAATTGAAGCAAGATGGACTGCACAATTCTCTATGTAGACCCAAAAGTTTTGACAAATCTGATCAGTGTTATGTTTTACAAGCTTTTCATCTTTTACCCACATACAGTGTAAGTATTATTTCTTACCTTTATCTTCATGTGAAAAAATAGGAAACTTTAATTATATTCTACAAATTCTAAATGTCGTGTTAAATTTATTACTCTGTTTTCCCCAAAATAAGACATCCCCTGATAATAAGCCCAATTGGGCTTTTGAGCGCATGGCAATAAGGCCAAGCACTTATTTCAGGGTTCGAAAAAATATAAGACAGGGTCTTATTTTCGGGGAAACATGGTATGTTTTGAAGGCTTTTTGAAAAACTTTTAACGTGGCCTAATAAATGCATGCATTTAATTTTTGAATACATAGTATGCAAGGAGTCCTGTAGGAAGGGGAAATTACCATATATTTTTATTAATTTATATAAATAATCATGTGTGATAATTTATATAAATTAATGAGAAAACCTACTTTTCTAGAAAATGAATTATAAGAATATTCTTTGAAACCCATGTTTTATTTGGGGAAGCACCTCACAGGTACATGGAAATGAAAAAAAAATTCTTAAAGTGAAAATATTTCAAGATTGTCAGAATAGTTTGTGCTGTTTGATGGGATTTCATGGGATTGGTCTCTGTTTATGCAGCCTTAATCTTTTAATATGGACATATATAAAACATATATTCTCTGGATCATTGTCTATCTTTGTTTTTGTTTTTTTGGGTACATGGGGAAGCAATAACAAAAAAGTCCATAAGTTAATTACTTTGTCATTTCCAAACAATTCTACTACAATTCCTTAAAAACATTTCCTGAATGCAGAAGTTTAGAATAAAATATGAATATATATTTCAGGTGTACTCTTTGACCTCTCTGTGCCTTTTAATACTGTTGATTCTGTGGACACCTGAATTGGGTTCTTGAGATGGAAGTAAAAAGCATTATACTACAATTACTTATGCTCTACCTGTAGGGTTACTACTTCACAATTTAATGGCAATTATGATATGAAATACTGTAATTTACATGTATGAAGGCTCTGGGTATGTAACAAAGGTCCTTCTTTCCTTGTTAGATCACAGATAGAATTTATTCTATGTTTGGGCTGAGGCTAGGCAAATATGTCTACTCCAGATGAACATTGCTGTGAATGGGAAATTAATTTTGATGACAAGCTCTACTATCTTTTTAAAATAGTGTAAACTTTCCAAGACTTTTCAATTCTTGTTTCTAACAATAGCAGTGGGTAATCACCTGATCATTCAGAAAAAATATAATTTAGATTGCAATTGATAGGTGGGAAATGGTTCCATATATGGTTTAGGTTTAGGTTTATTTGATTTGTATACCGCCCTACTCCCGAAGGACTCAGGGCGGTGAACAGCCAATAATAAAATACATAAATACAAAAAATTTAAAAACCAGATAAAATCAAATTAAATCATTTTGGCCCAGACAGATTAAAACACCCCAATAATTTAAAAACAGATTAAAATTTACATATTTAAAAAGGGAAGAAATTAGGCCAAGCCCGCCTGATGGAATAAAAAGGTCTTCACAGCACGGCGGAAGGAGCGCAGATCCGGGATCCTCCGTATCTCCGGGGGGAGCTCATTCCAGATGGTAGGTGCCCCCACAGGGAAGGCTCTCCCCCTAGGGGCGCCAGTCGTCACTGTTTGGCTCACGGCACCCGGAGGAGTCCCTCTCTATGAGAGCGTACTGGCCGGTGGGAGGCTATTGGTGGTAGTAGGCGGTCCCGTAAATAACCAGGTCCTAAGCCATGGAGCGCTTTAAAGGTGGTAACCAAAACCTTGAAGCGCACCCGGAAGACCACCGGGAGCCAGTGCAGCTCATGCAGGAGAGGTGTTACATGGGAGCACCATGTCGCTCCCATTACCACCCGCGCGGCCGCACTCTGCGCCAGTTGGAGCCTCCGGGTGCTCCTCAAGGGGAGCCCCATGTAGAGAGCATTACAATAGTCCAGGCGGGAGGTGACGAGGGCATGAGTGACCATGCGTAACGAGTCCCGATCCAGAAAGGGACGCAACTGGCGAATCAGGCGAACCTGATAAAAAATCCTCCCGGTCACGGCCGTCAAGTGCTCTTCTAAAGACAGCCGTGAGTCCAGGAGGACACCCAAGTTGCGGGCCCTCTCTGTGGGGAGCAAAATCTCATCCCCAATTGTCAGTGATGGTACCAGCTGACTATATCGGGACATCGGAAACCACAGCCACTCGGTCTTGGATGGGTTGAGCCTGAGCCTGTTCCTCCCCATCCAGATCCGTACGGCCTCCAGGCACCGGGACATCACTTCAAGGGCATCGTTGGGGTGATCTGGGGTGGAGATGTACAGCTGGGTGTCGTCAGCGTACTGATATATAGGGATAAACCAAATCTATACTCTTACTTTTGGAAATTAGTGATTATTTTCTATTGGTAAAAATATGTGATCGCTTTTTAAATTTATTTTTTGGTATTAACTTTCTTATGATGTGCATAGGCATCCTCTCATAATACATGGTTCATAACGGATATGAAAAATAATCTCAATGTAACAGAAGGAAATAAAGTAAATAAGAACTCATCCAAGTCACTAGATGGTGGAAGACATCTTGAGATGGAAGGTATTAAGCACCCTTTTTCTTATAATTTTTTTAAAGTAGCATCTTATACACAATGTTTATCTCATTTGAATTTTCTGATCAGGCTGCCTTGAAATTGGGGTTTTAGGCGATCTCTTAAGAATGCTGAAATTGGTTATGGTTTAATGCTTCATTGGACTGGAAAATCAACTTTTGAAAGAAAAATGTTTACAGGGTATGATTCATTAAAGAGTATTATTTATTAAATGTGTAGAGTATTCCTAGTAAACAGCTGTAGTGGAAGGTAAAAATAAACAGCTGTAGTGGAAGGTAAAAATAAAGCTTAAGTCTTTGTTCTTTTGAACAGGTCTTACTGTTAAAATGCTTCTGGGATTACACACACACACACACACACACACACACACACACACACACATTTGCAAGTACATTTATTGGTTCTAATCTTGGCTTCCAATGAAAATTGGTTGCACCCCTTATAGAAGAGGCCTACCCAATCTTCATTTTCAGGTCACGATACAGCACGGAAACGGCATTGGTCGCGTTGGTTGATGATCTCTGGAGGGCTCGGGACAGAGGTTGCTCCTCTATCCTGGTCCTATTAGATCTCTCAGCGGCTTTTGATACCATCGACCATGGTATCTTACTGCACCGGCTGGAGGGGTTAGGAATAGGGGGCACCGTGCTTTGGTGGATCTCCTTCCTCTCTGACCATTCGCAGTTTGTGTTGGCAGGGGGGCAGAGGTCGACCTCGAGGCACCTTATTTGTGGGGTGCCGCAAGGGTCAGTCCTCTCACCCCTTCTGTTCAACATTTATGTAAAACCGCTAGGCGAGATCATCCGTGGTTTCGTGGTGAGTGTTCATCAGTATGCTGATGACACACAGCTATACATCTCTACCCCAGACCACCCCAATGATGCCCTTGCTGTGATGTCCCGTTGCCTGGAGGCCGTGCGGATCTGGATGGGGAGAAACAAGCTCAGACTCAACCCCTCCAAGACCGAGTGGCTGTGGTTTCCGGTGTCCCGGTATAGTCAGCTGGTACCATCACTGACAATTGGGGATGAGATCTTGCTCCCCACAGAGAGGGCCCGCAACTTGGGTGTCCTCCTGGATTCACGGCTATCTTTAGAAGATCATTTGACGGCCGTGGCCAGGGGTGCCTTTTATCAGGTTCGCCTGATCTTCCAGTTGCGTCCCTTTCTGGATTGGGACGCCTTGCGCACGGTCGCCCTAGTCACCTCCCGTATGGACTACTGTAATGTAATGCTCTCTACATGGGGCTCCCCTTAAAAAGCACCTGGAGGCTCCAACTGGTCCAGAATGTAGCCGCGCGGGTGATTATGGGCACAGCTCGTTGCGCCCATGTAACACCTCTCCTACGCGAGCTGCGCTGACTCCTGGTGGTCTTCTGGGTGCGATTCAAGGTGTTAGTTATCACCTTTAAAGCGCTCCATGGCTCAGGACCTGGGTATCTACGAGACCGTCTTTTGCCACCAATAGCCTCCCACCGACCAGTTCGTTCTCACAGGGAGGGACTACTTAGGGTACCGTCAGTCAAATTATGCCGACTGACGAGTCCCAGGGGGAGGGCCTTCTCTGTGAGGGCTCCAACCCTTTGGAATGAACTGCCCCCTCAGATACGAAATATCCCTGATCTCCATGCTTTCCGCCGTGCCCTCAAAACCCTGATGTTCCAACAGGCGGGGCTAAACATATGAACATGTGAATGTTTTTAAAATGTTATCTAATTTTAGGTTCTATTTAATTGGGCCAAACTATGTTATAATAATAATTTTAATTAGCAATTTTATGATGTTTGTGTATCTATATTTTTCTTGACTGTACACTGCCTTGAGTCCTACGGGAGAAAGGCGATATAGAAATATAATAAATAAATAAATAAATAAAAATAAATTTGACTTCTGCTTCTTTAAAATATAATATTTAGAACAACATCTTCTTTAGATGACATGAAATAAGCACAGAATAGCTTTATCATGTATTTAAAAAAGGAAAAAAAAATATAATGGGACTTATCATTGCGGCCCAGCCTTTTTCTAGTTCCATTTGTTTCTCGGTGTTGACATGGAATCTAGATATGATTATGAGCTGCGGTAGCACAGTGGTTAGAATGCAGTACTGCAGGCTACTTCTGCTGATCACTGGCTGCCAGCAGTTTGGCAATTCAGGTCTCACTGGCTCAAGGTTGACTCAGCCTTCCATCCTTCCAAGGTCGGTAAATGAGGACTGGGATTGTTGGGGGAAATATGCTGACTCTGTAAATGTCTTAGAGAGGGCTGTAAAGCACTGTGAAGCAGTATATAAGTCTAAGTGCTATTGCTATTATGCTATTGGTAGATCTTTTGAAAGTAGTGAGTACATCCCCTCTCAAGTATTCAGGATTTGAGAGTCTACCTGTGCATATTTTATTTACCTGACAATAGTTTGTTATTTCCATGATCTAAGTCTAAGATTATACTGGCATTTTTTCATCACAGAGCCATACTGTTGGTTTGGTTGACCACATCTCATTAAGTCTCTGAATGATTTATATGGTTTTGGCTTAGAGGGAACCATGCTAGAGATATAAATGCAGACAAAAGCATTGGTATCCTTCCACTTTTTTTGGGGGGTAAGAATCCCAAATTCCTTGAAGTGACTTGAAACTAACACAAGTAAATGGCTTCCATTATTCTTTGCTACATAGTAGATAGAGTGTACTTTTTAAATTTGTACCATATCAATTTGATAAAGAAAATATTGCATTTGATGTATAACTTAACATATTTTCGTAAATAAATGAAATGGGATAGATATATTAAAATGCTGCCAAGGCTGGGTGTGTTGTGGACTGGGTGCCAATGGTAGCTGATTTTAGTTTGTTGCAGTGTGTGCAACAAGAAGAGGAGTTCGATTAAGAGATGGTGGTATTTCTGTGAATTTGGGCTTTTTCTCTATTGGGCCCAATGGATGCTGTAATGATTATCATGTGTCTTTAATCTCATACTCCATCACTCAATCTATTTGGAGAAAAGTCTGCATTATGTCTTTTTGTGACATTGTTTATGGCATTAGTGAACATGGATAAGAAAAACAAAAATTGGGATTATTTGGGAAAGCGTGAATAATACTTTTGACTACATCGGTGGCTCTTCTACTAGACAAATCTGATAGCTAATAGCTTCAGGTATTGGCTATCAAGAAAGAGGGCAGATTTTAGCTAAGTTATTGTAATTGTATATTTTTTGACATGGACAGGTGAAGCACATAGAGGATTTTTTGCTTCAGGAATTAAAAAGAATTAGACTACCTTGAAAACATGGGGCTGAAAAGAGATACTTATTGCAATGTCTTTGTGGTCTCATTTCCTACTATAGAAAGAAGAAAATATTCAATGGTGATATTAGCCATGTACAATTAATGTTTTCCATAGTCCATAATTCAAAGGCATCAATCTTTTATTTTTTCTTAATGTCAGTTTTTGTAGCTGAACATTGCTACTTAGGAGGCTCATAGCTTTAACCATTTTGATCTATATCCTATATAATGTTTTCCTTGCAATCTTACATCTAGTGTCCTCCTTTTTTCTTAGGTACTACCCAGGGGTGAAATCTACTTACCTTCCTTACCAGTTCGGAAGTGCACGCACTTCTTATAATAGGAGTTTTTAATAATTATATTTCTTATAATTATAAGAATAATTATATTTCTTATAATAGGAGTTTTTATTCTTCTGAACAGTCCTTATAGTAGCAGGTATTCTGGCACACAAACTAGCCATAACATATTCCATTTTCTAGTGTAGACTACACAATAAAAACCCATGCTGTAGTAATAAAGCTTTTTCTGTTGTCTTCATTAGCCACCTTTTGTGTATTTTATTGATACTTATTATTCAAGGTATAATGTAAAGATGCTATTTTTATAATCACAGCCCTACAAAAGCAAGTTGGAACGTGGCTCGCTATAAAGAATATGTATATTTCATGGCTTTTTTCTCTTCCATTTTTGAAATTTGGGAATATCTGTTTTCTGCTACAGTTTTTGTTATCTTCTATTTCTTTCCATAGCTCCTCAGATTCATGTGAATTAAGAGCAGTTGCTGGAACTGGACATGTCTAGTCTGATGAAAAGAAGGACTAGGGGTTACATGATAGCAGTGTTCTAATATCTCAGGGGCTGCCACAAAGAAGAGAGAGTCAAGCTATTCTCCAAAGCACCTGAGGGTAGGACAAGAAGTAATGGGTGGAAACTAATCAAGGAGAGAAGCAACTTAGAACTAAGGAGAAATTTCCTGACAGTTAGAACAATTAATCAGTGGAACAACTTGCCTCCAGAAGTTGTAAATGCTCCAACACTGGAAGTTTTTAAGAAGAGATTGGATAACCATTTGTCTGAAGTGGTATAGGGTTTCCCGCCTAAGATATCTAGAAGACTTCTAAGGTCCCTTCGAACTCAGTTATTCTAAGCATACTGAATTTGTTCTGTACCTCAATCGTATATTTAGACTAGACTTCTATAGTAAAATCTAATATATCTACTCTCTTTAATGCATATTTGCCAAGTTTATCATACTTATTTGATATAGTTTGATATACTTCAGACACTCTCACACTAACACGCACACGATTGTTTCATAACCTTCAACTGAAATAGACCTGGCTGACTGAATTGTATTTCTTCACCTTCTGTTTCCTCTTATGTAGTTGATTCATTTCCAGTGTTGTGTATCCAATGAAGTCCATGTATATGGACTTCGAAGGCTAGTATTGAAGAACTGAAGAATTATCTTTGAAAAAAATCTATTAATATCTCACCAACCTTATTCTGTTTACCCAATTAAAAATAGAATTACATGTCATTAACCTATTACTACTGTTTCTTTTGGCACCCTACAGAAAATTCGGCGTCTACTACTGTTTCTTTCTTGATAATGCATTTTATAAATTTTGTTATTTTATGTAGAATTTCACAATGATTTGTACTATTGCATCCGCAATAAACAGTTGCTCTTATGTACTACTGAATTTTGCTATATGTCCACTAATTCAAGCAGATAGAATTCTGCCTATAGTGACTTGTCTATGACAAGTCCCTATACGATTTTTTGCACTGAATGATTGCCATCCCTTTCTTCATATGGACTTATATCCTCAAAATAAAGTATTCATCTAAAAGGTCAATTTTGATCCATCTTTGTTCACTGTCTTTTTAAAACATACAATATGGCAGAACTGATAATTTAATGAAGTATTTTTTCCTGCCAGTAGAAATCTTCTTAACTGAATTGAATGAACTTTGAAGTTTCTTTTTTCATCCTGGCGCATTACATTTTGAATGACTTTGTTTATGAAATAAATAAAAGTCATTAAACATTGATGTTATTTCATTCATGTTCCCTTTCTATTGTACCTTATAGCCACACAAAGTGTGATATCTTTCAATGCAAATATTTGGAAAAAACAGAAAATCCTAAAGAGCTCAAATACTTTTCTTAGAAATATTAAGCAGATTATATGAGAAATCTTTTTTTTAAAGCCAATAATAGCAAAAATCTAAGCATAAATCTCATGGTTTCTTCCTGCATTAATTTAACTCGTTCATTTCCGTTTCAGTTTCTTTGCTGATTATATTAATTCTTATGAATCGGAGCATAAATGTTAGTTTTGTCTTTTCATTAAAAAAAATACACCAGGCACCATCAATAAAATTCTCAGTGGCAAATCCATGCTAATATAGAGTTTATGCAAAGCATCTACAATTTATCCTGAAATGGAAATATCAAACATTGCACCAGAAGCATCATTTTCTTTTATTCTGAACTTTAGCTGTACTCATTGTGTTGTAAACTGGTTATTTAATATATTTTAATGTTTTCTTTAGAGTCTTTTGCCACAAACTCTCTGATGTTGTATTTGTGGGGCTTTTTTTCTCCATCCAAATAGGCTAATCATATGGCTGAATGTGCAAACTAGCATCCCCTGGTATCTCATTCTCTTGCTGTGGTAATATTTACTACTGTGAAATGTGTGCTGAGATACCTTACACTGTAAATCTTCCACTTAATTAGTTGAATCCTGAAAAAAAGATGCATTACAATAAATGTCCATTTTGCAGTATTTAAAATTAGTTAATTATATTGCAAGGAATTAGGAAAGTCCAGAGTTACTTATTTTGGTGATTTTCAAGGATAGTCTACAGCAGTGTTTCCCAAACTTGACCCTTTGAAGATGTATGGACTTCAACTCCCAGAATTCCTCAACCAGGCTTACTGGTTGGGGAATTCTGGGAATTGAAGTCCATGCATCTTAAAATAGCCAAGTTTGGGAAACACTGGTCTACAGCCATGTTAGCAGGCTATGTTAATCAAAATTTATGATTAAGCTGTTTCGTCTCCCTTGACCTATATGACCTGAAATAGTTACCACTGGTTTATTTAAAATATTATCTATAATGTGTTCATCCATCTTCTCCAAATTACCAGGTTATTTTTGCTACTAAGTACCAGCTGTTAATTGGAGACAGAAAATATACCTCTTAACCTAATAATAGCACACAAACCAACATATTGTGATAGAGAAGATTATCCCATATGATAAACGACAAACTACAGTGCATTCAGAAAGTATTCAGACCCCCTTCACTTTTGTCTGTTTTGTTATGCTGCAGCCTGATTCTACAGTTGTTGAAATTCATTTTTTTCTCATTAATCTACACTCAGTACCACATAATGACAAATTGAACACACATTTTTAGAAATATCTGTAAATTTATTAAAGAGAAAAAAACTGAAGTATCACATTGGCATAAGTGTTCAGAACCTTTGCAACAACACTTGAAATTTAGCTCAGGTACCTCCCATTTCTCTTGATTGTTGCTGATATGTTTCTACACCTTGATTAGAGTCCACCTGTGGTAAATTAAATTGATTGGAAATGATTTGAAAAGACACAAACCTCTATAGAAGGCCTCACAGCTGACAATACATACGGTAGCAGAGCAAAAGCCATGAAATCAAAGAAACTGCCTACAGAGCTCAGTGACAGGATTATTGCAAGACAATAATCGGGGGAAGGCTACAATAACATTTCTGCTGTAGTGAAAGTTCCTAAGAGCACAGTGGCCTTCATAATTCTCAAATGGAAGAAGTTTGGCACAACCAGGACTCTTCCAAGAGCTGGTCACCTGGTCAAACTGAACAATTGAAGGGCCTTAGTAAGAGAGGTGACCAAGAACCTGATGGTCACTCTGACTGAACTGCAGAGATCCTGAGTGGAGATGGGACAGAGTTCCAAAAGGACAACCATCACTGCAGCTCTCCACTGATCTGGGCTTTACGATAGAGTGGCTAGTCAGAAGCCTCTCAGTGAAAACACATGAAAGCCTGCTTGGAGTTTGCAAAAAAGCACCTGAAGACTCTTAAATTGTGAGGAACAAGATTCTCTGGTCAGATGAAACCAAGATTGAACTGTTTGACCTTAATTCTAAATGTTATGTTTGGAGGAAACCAGGCACCACTAATCACCCAATATCACAACAGTGAAGCATGATGGTGGCTGGATCATGCTGTGGGAGTGTTTTTCAGCAGCAGAGACTGGTCATGGTTGAGAGAAAGCTGACTGGAGCAAAATACAGCCATCTCCTCATTGAAAACCTGTGTCAAGACTGACTTGAACTTTCACCTATATTCCGCTTTGCTCTCAGCTTGACGAAAGGGTGGTGGTGGATTGGAATGCAAGGGTGGGGAACAGTATCCAAGCATCATTGGTTCCCTTGAGACATTGCTCCTCACTTCAAGGACACCCAGAGCAGAAGTCACAGTGTGGCTGGCTGGTTCTCATAACAAAATTAACAGAAGTGATTGGTGGACGTAATGGAATGTGTGTGGCCTGAGGGGAAAGGGGGAATGAACTATGCATGCTTTTGCATGGGAAGCCCAGAGCTGATTTTGCTTCTGTGCCAATGTGGATTTATTCAATAAAGTTTATACTCTTGATAAAATAATGTTCCAGGAGTTTCTTTTTCTGAATTTGCCAACCGGACAGTTGACAGCATGTTCCACAGTGCTCAGGGCCTCAGACTGGGACGAAGGTTCACTTGACCGAAGGTTCAACATGACAACGATCAACCAGGACAACATAGGAGTGGCTTAGGGACAACTCTATGAATGTCCTAGAGTGGCTCAGCCAGTGCCCTGACCAGAACTCGATTGAACATCTCTGGAGGAACCTGAAAATGGCTGTCCTCCAATGGTTGCCATCCAACCTGACTGAGCTTGACAGATTTTGCTAGGGAGAATGGCAGAAAATCCCCCAGTCCAGGGGGATTGTTTATTGCATCATACACAAAAAGGCTGAAGGATGTAATTACTCTCAAAGGTGCTTCAACAAAGTACTGAGTGAAGTGTCTGAATACTTATGCCAATGTGATATTTCAGTTTTTTCTTTTTAATAAATTTATAGAGATTTCTAAAATTACGTTTTCACTTTGTCATTATGAGGTACTGAGTGTAGATTAATGAGAAAAAAAATGAATTTCAACAACTGTAGAATCAGGCTGCAGCATAACAAAATTGACAAAAGTGAAGGTCTGAATACTTTCTGAATGCACTATATCTGTTCGGTTTTAATTTAGTCTAATATATGTCATATTTTGGAGAAAATGCTTGGGAAATCTTAAATAACTGTTTCCTTTTGAAATTTCCTTTCCACAGCAAAGATGAAACATCTCAACTTATCCTTTGCAGCCTCTGGCTTTCTGGGGATCTACCACTTGGGGGCAGCATCTGCTTTTTGCAGACATGGTAAGAAGTTATTGAAGGTTGTGAAGGCCTTTGCAGGAGCATCTTCAGGAGCTTTGACTGCCACTGTTCTTTTAACAGTGCCAGAAAGTATTGAGGTAATTGTGAAGAAGAACTTGTAATCTTGAAAACACAACTTAAGTCTACCTGCTTTGGATGATCTCGGCTAAGCTTTTGAAAATAAGACCAATGTGTTTTATACACTTTATAGAGGAGAAAACTGCAACAACAAATTGATTTCACTCATTTTAATTTGCATTTCCAGATGTATTTTATCTTGTTTTTGGCTACGAATTTGAAAAAAATAAAGATTACTATGATGAAGATTAGAAACAGGGTTGTTATTTCTACAGATTTAAACATTATGTTCCGATATAATACCTAAGATATAATGTTAACAACATAAGTTATAATATGAACTGGTTAATTTTGACATTGCACATCTGGCTAAACCAGTTATTGTGCCTTGTAAATTTGCAGTATTAACTTGTTCTGCAAAACAAAAATTAGATTTTTTCCCCCAGGTACCACTATTAAGCAAACTACAAGTAGTCCTTCATTAAAACCAGTCACTTAGTGGCTGTTCGAAGTTATGATGTATCTACTTGGCACCACTTATGTCCCAGATTTGAAGTTCCCATTGTTGTGCTCTCCCCCTGTGGTCATATGATCGAACATTATGCGCTCGGCAATAGGGCTGCATTTATGGCCATTTGCAGCATTCCTGCCATCATGTGATGATGTTTTACAGCAGTTTTGCCAAAAATTGGCACTTCCATTTTTAGCAAAACCATGCCCATAGGGAAGCATTGGTTTGCTTAATGACTGCAGTGTTTGCTTAATAATTTGTTTAATGACCATGTTGATTTGATGAACAACTGCTGTAGAATGTGTAAATTTGTATCAAACATAACTGACCAGTTTTACATGTCACAATTTACACACTATGAAGGACAGATTCCAGTATATACACTGACAATTGTTAACCATTGACTCACCGCAGTCCTGGTAAGTTCCAGGTCTACCTGTGGAGTAAATTAGGTAATTGTCTTATGCAACTATCATATATACGGAAATGTTAATGGTCACTGAGATATTTCTGAGTAAGAGATGTCTGCTAATAGAACTGATACAATTGAAATAGGTGTAACAATAGCATGTGCTGCTCTTCCTTCACCACCTATTAAATGTGGATGAAAAACCTTTTTTACATGTGCTATAATGTGTTATTAATTTATTATAAGGGCAGCAATGAGGCCTTATAAATTTAATATTAAATTTATAAGGCCAGCCACAGGAAAATGAGTCTGTGCAGTTGACAACAATTCTATACTGTTTGACGATAATTTCCAACCTATGTGGCACTTGCAATTGCTATTGCAAATCCTAGGTTTGTGTATCCCAAAGTCTAATGTTGTCCATTATATTAATCAGAATATGAATATAATTGAATAGAATAGGTTGAGTTACAGATAATTGTTCATCTCATCAGAACTGAAAATAGTTTTATGACTGCTCTGTAAATGACAGTGTATCTGAAGTAAAACATTACCAAAAATATAATTTTGAAAGAAAATATTATCAAAAGAAGGCACAGGAGGGGAGGAACCAACAGGTTGAATAGGTGGTAGAAGTGTACATGAACAACTATAGCAAGCAGGGCAGGGAAGTGACAAAAAGTGGAGGTAGCTTTTGAGGGGACAAGGCTTGATCCTAAGAGTGGTGTGTGTTTATGTGCAAGTGAAGTTGGGAATGGAATTATTTACAAAAAATTAGGTTGTATAACTTGGGAAGTATCTGCATAGTATCTTCACTTTGTTCTATAGGTTACAGTACAATTTTATTTATTTTGTATTTCACTTAACTTAGTCTATTGCAGTGTTTCCCAAACTTAGGAACTTCAAGATGTATGGACTTCAACTCCCAAAATCCCACAGCCAGCCATGCTGGATGGGGAATTTTGGGAGTTGAAGTCCACACTTCTTAAAGTTCCCAAGTTTGGGAAACACTGGTCTATTGCCTGGTTTTATACTAGCTCAACTGCATCTGATCAGGATTTATGCACTGAGCTTATTATTTACTGTGAACTTGTAAATCAGATGACCATGCTTTTATCTCTGGGCCATATTTCAACTAAGGCTGCTGTAACTATCTTGGTCACATCCTTTTAAGGGTTTGGGAAGTCAATGGTGGAAATCACTGTTGTTTAACCAACTTTAATTCCAGCACCTTTGGGATTGCCCATATGCTACCTACAGCTGTTAAAGCTAGTTTTGCATTTTAATGAGAATTTATCTTAATAAATTACATACTGAAAGTCTGTGGTATTAAAATAACTAAACATTGTCACCTGCAGTTTTCTTTGATTTAAAACTATGATTCCTTCCATAAATTCCAGGGTCTCTTTTGTTCATCCTAATCCTTTATAGTTCAGAAACTACACTCTAGCTGGACAAAAATTTAGGCATCATTAAATATTTCAGTAAAATAGTAGTAGATCTTAGTTAAATGGAAATAAATTAGCAGCTTTTGATGTATCCTTATCATCATTTGAAATATTATGAGACAAATAACTAATTACAAAAAAAATTCTGCTTGTATTTACAATCAGTCTATGAAGTGGTCAAGTAGGCATCAAAATATATAAGTTTATAATTCTATAAATGGATAATTTACTGGCAATATTACACCTTATAAATTGTACATTATAAAAGTAATAAAAGCCTGTCTTTTTTTTTTCAAGGATCTGTAGCTTTTCTTTTTCTTTACCACAATTCTTAGCATGATTTCAGAAGTCTTTCTTTGCTTCCATGTTGATTTTCATTTACTTTAGCTTCAATAATATGATAACTTTCATTAAAATTATGATGTCTCCTGAGGGTAGGAACATAATGAATGTTACTTCATTTATCAATATTGGTAACACTATTCACACATGTGTTCTGATACTTTGATACATGGGGTTCCTAAGAGACAAAAGCTCATAATGCATATACATATAAGCAGAGGTGGGCTGTTACCGGTTCGCAACTGTTCTCCTGAACTAGACGTTAATTTTCTGAGTAGTTTGGAGAACCATTTGTTGGAAGAAATCTTTTCCCACTTTATAGGTTTAATCCTGCAATGAACGCAGGAAGGAAAGATTCTAGTGTGCGTATATTTCTAGCCTAATCTTTATCTCTATTGCCACCCCTGCTGCTTTAAGTGTTTTCAGAAACTATCCAAACTTTCTGTCTGTAGACTGAACTACTCCGGAGTCCTGTCTCTCCCGGAGTTTTTTGTGGTACTTTTATTCCTGGCCTTGAACAGCTATTTACAGAAGGGTTGGCATAGTCACAGAAGAAATGGCTGAGAGGCAGGATGCAAGCTTGGCATTCTGTCTGATTTTTTTACTGCCTTTCTGAGAGCATGTGATCTTTCCTTAAATCTGGATGATTACCTTAGGATATCTTGTGAGGTGAGTGAGGCCAGCTGGTATCTAAGTGGTACAAATGGATCTAATGATTGCTTCTCCTGGGTGCTTTGTCAGTTCATTGAGCACAGGAGTCTCATCTATGGAGATTCTTCAGTCATCCAGGTCATGGTTGTCCCAAAGGTGCTTTTTTCAAGAGAGAAGTGGATTTTCTTGGTTTCCAGAAGGTCCAGTTGCCTCTTGAAAAAGCAACTTTGGGACAGGAGTCTCTTGCATTGCTTTAGAGTGGGCAAGGCACATGATTGCTCACTGATAAGTGGATCCTCCTTCCAATTTGTTTTAGTTTTCTCTCATGATAATATGGCATAGTAACATGGCACCAATTGTAGAAAGTTAGCATCCACCCCTCCTAGAAGAATGAAATATTTTGAGAAATATTAAAAAGGAAGAATATATCTGCCTGAATGAAAAATGGAGAAACATGTTTTCTTAGAGGGAGAAAGCAGTCCCTACCTTCTTTAATAGTCCACAGAAGATGTCACACTTAAGAGATAAAGAGATAGATAGCTATATTCATAGGCAAAAATTCCCTGCAGCAAGGTCTGAACAAAGGCAGAATGGGATTAGCCCTCACTTATGTTATTAATTTGTCTCTTTAGCGTGGTATTTTGTAGCCCAAATATGCCCATGCACTTTCTAGAGAGCTTAAATGACATCTCTGCTAAAGGGTTTCACTTTATGAACAAGAATAACTTGGCTGCTGACAGTTATCCTTGTATTTTAACTATTTTAATTCCTCAATGTGCTCTGGCATCCTGCCTGATTTGTAACTCAGGGTTTCAGGTATTGCTGAGGAAAAGGAAGGTATTCAGACAGAATGGTTTAGGTTTCCATCACTGCTGTGACTCATTTTATCTTCAGTATGTATTTCCCCATTTCTAATCTAATGACTGGTATTTAGGGCAGCTTTTTGCAAGCAAAGAAGCTTTTTGTATTTTTGTACAGGTAATCTTTGATTTACAACAGTTCATTTACTGACCATTCAAAGTTACAAAGGCACTGAAAAAAGTGACTTATGACTGTTTTTCACACTTACGACCGTTGCAGTATCCTCACGGTCATGAGAGGGCAGGCGAGATGAAGTGCCCCTTGACGTAAGTGATATCAAGTTGGTCACGCCCACCAGCCATGCCCACTAAGCCACACCCACCCAGCCAGTCATTAGGGCAGAGAACCGGTTGTTAAAAAATTTGCAGTCCACCACTGCATATAAGGTATATGTAGGATAGACACCTTTTTTTAATCATAGGAACTTCACTAAAAAAAGTTTTAAAAATAATTATTTAACCAGTGAAAGAGTAGAGTACTGTAGTAACATGATTTTGGACCCTTCTCTATTTGAGGCTACATCTTTTCTTAGTTGTATGATTTTTCTTTTACAAAGGTCCAATCATATGGGCTCACAGTTAAGTTTTCTTAAATGTATTCTAATTAGGAAGCCTGCTTATTAATATGTAGCATTTTAAAGATTTGGAGTGTATAAAAAAGAAACCTTCCCCAAACGACATTCCTGTTATCTGTCCGTCTATCCATCTATCCATTCGTGTGCATACATCTGTTAAAAAGTCAGTTAAATGTTTCACATAATTAGATTAATGTGTTGAGGAGCTGTGTTTACATTTGGTGTATGAATCTTTTTTCAGAAATGTACAAATATAACCTACCAACTTGCTGAAGATACTAGAAGACTCTATTTTGGAGCGCTAACACCTGGTTATGATCTCATGACAAAACTTAGGTAAGATTGTAAATATTTATACTGCCAAATTTGGTTGTCTTGTAAATTCTCCAGTAAATGGTACATCAGAGATACTGTGTTTGTGATAGTTACTATGGAGAAATGCAGCATTCATGTTTTTCTAAATTATTTAGAAGTTGTTTAATTATTAAAGTGGATTAATATTTATTCTGTTTTCCATAGGGGCTACATTGATTCAATCCTCCCCCCTAATGCCCACGAGATAGCAGAAAATCGCCTCTTTATATCAGTCACTAGTACTAAGAATGGAAAAAATTATTTGCTTTCACATTTTGCCTCCAGGGAAGATCTTGTTAAGGTAGGAAAGTTGCATATTACTCTTATAAGTGCAATCACCCAGTTCTCTCCAGGGTCTTAAGAGTTTAGTTTTTATTAGTTTTGGCCTGCAAGGTCTTCATGTTCCTCACTTGAACAGCTCCCTTGCTTTAAAAATGAAGACTGTTGATATATTTATAGCCAGGAATTCATGACCTAATTGTCTTGGAAATCTTCACAACTGGTCTTCATGGGTAGTCCTCAAGTTATGACAACAATTGAGACCAGAGTTTCTATTGCTAAGCAAAGAAGTTGTTAAGTGAGTCACACTCATAGATGTTTCTCTTTAAAGTCTCATGCTAAGATAATATAGGTGGCTTGGTCCAGGACCGACAGAAAGGATTTTTAAAAAGATCTTACATTGTAGACAAATGGGAATACCTGGATTTTAACTCTAAAATGGATCTACTCTTTTCTCTTCACTCCCATCTTGCCACATATACATTTTTTGATAATTAAAATTATAAACCATATTGTCTGAAAGGGGAGCTAAAATAGAATTATTATTAGTATTTCTCCCCAGTTAAGGAAATAAGATAAGAATTATTCATATTTTTTTCCTATGTTTTCTAGGCTTTGTTAGCCAGCAGTTTTATTCCTCTTTATGCAGGAATAAATGCAGTGGATTATAAAGGACAGGTCTGTATAATTAGAGTTCTTATTCTGGATACTGTGTTTTTTTGCATGCTGCAAAAAATCATCATATCAATTAGGCTGATCATCACTATCTGATATTTTTAAGAACTTGTATTAACATGTCATCTTTGAAACATTATGGCCTTGAAAACCAATTATGTGATGTTATGCTTCAAGACTTGCTCTGGCAAAAATATCACTCATCATGGGCTTCTGAAATGGCATGGAATGTTCCTGATGTTAAAATTAATTAAATAATCTAGATGTCTCATGCGATTGACATTTCTGGTTATTATTAAAGTAGCAAAAATATCACTACAATGTGGACAGTTTTCTTCGTTAGTAACAACCTAGGAAGTAACTTCTGTACCTGTAATGAGTATGTGAGAATGACCTTGGGAGACAAGAGGAAGAGCTGCAGGCTAGATAACAGTCAGATAAGAGGCAGCTTAGCCCAAAGAAGAAATGAAGACATGACAAATGTCTCAGAAGGGACCTTCCCTACTTTTCTTGAGCTATAAAGGCAAGGAGGAACAGATGTATTTTCAGACTTGCAACAATGTGTTAATGTAACTTTACAATAAAGTTAGACCTAGTATGTCTGGGTATGTTTCTTGTCTGGAATATATCACAAGGCTGAGAGAACTAGATAAATTTTTGCATAAGAGAATGCTGCCATAGACACAACTTGCTATATTTTGAGCTATGGAGGTGTTAAAATTCCTTTTATTGTGCAGGCCTTGAAAATCTAGTAATTACATTGTTTGCTGTGTTGGGTTACAAATATTCCAACAGTTGAATGCCATCAGTTTTTTTTTTCTTGTGCATTCTCTCTCATACTGCAAATAGCTGAGATTCTCTTTATTTGAATAGAATTGTTTAATGCTGTGCACTAAAATATTTTTCTGGTCTCCAGATAGTAGTGGAATTTTTAAACTGCTTTTTTTAATGAGCTTCATGTTGTGGGAGTTTATACTGACTTATAAGGGATAAGACTTATTCATTTATCCTGATTATAAATTTATCCTGATCATTTATCCTAATTATAAATCCATGAAGCAATGTATAGCACTCTAAAACAAATACTTCCATAGTTACACAGGTTTAAATACTTAGTATATATCCTAAACATTTTCGTCATGCTCCATGATTTCTTTTAAGTAGATTTTAACTATACATTATGCTACAGCATTTTCTTTGTAATAGTATATATGTGAATTGCTAGAGACAAAGCCTGAGGATGAAATAGGGTTTGAATGTTTTTAAAAATGTAATTGATGATTCTGTGGTGTAGGAGAAGAAAAAGAGTGAGGGTTTGTTGTGAAAATATGTCCCTCTAATGTTTTGTTGGGAGGGTTTTATTACTGTTTCAATAATAACAACGTTGACATACATGTAGTTCTCGACTTATAACCATAATTGATCCCAACATTTCTTTTTCTAAGTGAGACAACTGTTAAGTTAATTTTGCCCCATTTTATGATCTCTCTTATCACAATTAAGTAAATCACTGCATTGTTAAGTTAGTAACATGTTGTTAAGTGAATCCACATTCCCTATTGACTGCAACCATATGAGTCAGTCAAGTGTCTGAATTTTAATCATGTGACCATGGGGATGCTACAATGGTTGTAATTGTGAAAAATGACCATAAGTCACTTTTTTCAGTGCTATTGTAACTTTGAATGGTCACTAAATGAACTTTTGTAAGTTGAAGACTACCTTTACCTGGTGATAGCAGAATAAAAGAGAAAGAACGAGAGAAAAATCACAAAATATAAAGACCTTAATATAGAAGTAGAACAACTGTGGCAAAAGATAGCAAAAATAGTACCAATAATAACCAGAAGCTTGGATGCCACAGTACCACGTGAATACTATCAGCACTGACATTCTGGAAGTTGAAGTCTCAAGTCTTAAAGTTGCCAAGATTGGATACCCCTGATTTAGAGCATTATGTACCTGCATAAATATGGTATCTTTCTGTTCCCTTTCTGTTCCCTTTAAAAGAACAATTGCAACCATCTTGCCTATGGACGAAAAAATCCAATATCATTATCTGAACAAAATCTTTGAAAGGATAATAAATTTTTCAACAGAGTGTTCAAGTTTAGAAGTTTTCATCAAGAAAGGACTAAAAGTAATAGGATAGATAAGAATCAAGGAAAACTAGAAATGGGGTTAGATATTGAAGCCATAAGGCTTTCTAGATGACATATAGATGATACAAATTAGAGAATTAAAAATGCATAATACAGATTAATAGTTGTGATTCTCTCCCTAAAAGAATCAAGGTTTTGTCACAGTTAATGGTATCCAGATATGTACATAGACAAATAATAAAACAGTTAATTATTGACAGAGCATAACTGTTTCCACTAGAAATGGATCGATGGTGGCTTAACCAATGGCCTCCCTATCTTGCCAAAAGGCCGAACTGTGACTGTTTCTCCTTTTTGTGGCCGGCTAGATATTTGCCCAGAAAACAAAGGACTAGTGGATATTTATGCTAAAGTTGCAAAGCAAGACATCATGGTGAGTTATGCAAGGAAAAATTATTTATTCCACAGTTTTAGAATTACTCTTTGTTATTTAGGAAGATGTGCTAAATGTGCTAGATGTGTTGTGTCTTTATTTTTGGACATATACAGTAGAACTGTATGTCAAACTAACCAATTTCTTTGAAAGTTATTATCTAAAGATTTCTAATAGCTGAAAAGTACATAATCAGCAATTTCCAAAAGTAATTATAAAAGGAAGTATGCAAACTTTATAAAGTTGCTTACTGTGGTTTGAGTCAGATTCTAATTTGTTTGTCTCCCACAGTTCTATACTTCTATAGTCCACTGTCTTGCGGTATTCTTGTAAGGAACAACTAATTTTAAGAAGATAGATGTTTTTATCAAACAAAGTAATTAAATGTTAGTGATTTGGTTTTACCTAATTTAAAATGATTTAGAGTGTAAGACATTAGACCACGGGTGTCAAACTCACGGTGTCACGTTGCCATCATGTGCTGTTTCATGATGTTTTTTCCCTTCGTGGAGCTGGGGTGGGCGTGCCCTATGTGTGATGCATCCAGCCTGCGGGTCGCCAGTTTGACACCCCTGCATTAGACAAACTATTACTGGACACCTCTGTGGTGGGAACATCAGGGCCAGGTTCATGAATTTGATCTTGATGCTTCAAAATCAAATCACTAAAATTTAGTAGTAAATTACTGGATAATTGTAGTGCAATTTTCCCTTGGCAGTACATCAAATAAAAGTAGGTATGAAAACTATATACTTAACATACCAGTGAATATTTTAAAACATGTTTCAAATGTTACAAAAGGGGAAAAACATTTGATTAGCTTTTTAAAAATATTTTAGAACTGTCTCTTTTCTGTTTCACTTTTCTAGGATGGTGAAAATAATTAGATTAGGAAAACCAGTTTGCTTCAGATTTTAATTTAATTAATGTTCTAATTAATGTTATTAATTAGATGTAAATGTAATGTAATGTAATATTTAAGTGCTGTATGTTGGGTAAATTTTGTGAAACCTTGCAGTCCCTAGGTCCTCATAATAAACTAAACCATGATTGCTTCCCTATGGTTTATTAAATACACCTCATTTGATTGGCCTCAAATATTGCAAGTCATAAGCCATGATTTATATACCGTAGAGGCCATTAACAAAATCAAGCACTTTATGGCTTAGCAAATGCAAGAATGCAATCTCTATCAAAATGTAATTAATTAAGCAGAAATATCTTGCTTCTTTTTCCTTCTTGGATGCAGTTATCCATTGGCAACTTTATAAGACTTCATCAAGCTCTATTTCCACCAAGCCAGGAGAAAATGGAATTGCTATATCAAGATGGATATGATGATACCATTCAGTTTTTATTGAAGGAAAATTGGTTTGAGTAGATTATGTATGATGAAAATAAATAAAAAATTGATGGCTTGTCAACGCAAATCTTTGAACATGCCATACAGAACCCAAAGGGCTGATGTCACCATTTATGTTTATCTTAAAAAAATGACACTGGGATTTCATCTGTTGATGCCAGACAAGTGTTTTATATGCTATTGTGCTGGCCTGAATTTGTAGAGGGTTTCAAATGCAGTGGAGTTGTATTTGGTATAGAAGATAAGCTGCTTCTTAGAAAACATGAAGAGAAATCAAAACTTCCATTGCTTTACTTTCTTTTTTTCATTTTTCATGCAGATGTGAAAATGCTAAAAATATGAATTTTTGACTCATTAAATTTATTCATATAAAGTCATAAATATGTGCAGTTTGCAGAAAATTGAATACTTGTGTTATTTCATAAAAATATTAATGTGTTCATTAATTAGTTTACTCATTTTGTTTTTTTTAATCCAGTGAATTCTCAAGCATGAAGTAATTACAATGAAGCCATGGGAAACAAAACAACTTAACAACTCATTTATCTACAGATGTATTTTACCATTAGTAGGCTTAGATTTTCAGATAGCCTACGTATATTTTAAAATGTTGACTTTCAGTGGGTTTATTTATCCTTTGTCATATAAAATTCATTGTAGAAAGAAAAGAAAAATGTCAATTAAACATACTGCATTTTTGTTTATGCCATAGTCACCTAGAAAATAGATGAGAGCAATTGTTAAATATGAATAAAGCAAGTTACATCATATAGTTCTATTTAAAACAGTCTCAAAGGAAGTAATTTGCTGATTTAATGAACATTGCCCAAATTGCATTTTCACCTAAAATGCTTTCTATGCCGTTGGAATCCATTGGGTATGATTTTCTAGTGGCAGATCTCCTGTTAGCATAATCTAAAAATAGTATTGATTCTACTTATAGTAAATATTGCAGTATCAATTTTAAATTAACTGTTTGAATAAATTCTTATTGCAAAAATTTTGCAATGTTCTTTTTAATTCATTGTAAACTTATTCTTTTCTATGATTTGCGTGATGTTAATGAATGCAGTTTGTGTATAAACCCAAAAGATGGTGTTGTAAAAGCCAATATTTCACTCTTTATTTCCATTACAGTTAGTTCTTCACTTATGTCCATTCACTGTTCAAATTTATGATGCCATTGAAAAATATGACTTACAACCAGTTTTCAGACTTACAAAAAATTTCAGTTTCTCTGTGGTCACATGATCATAATTCAGGCATGTGTTTATGACAATTGCAGTGACATCGGGTCATATGATCACCATTTGTGACCTTTCCAGCTGATTTCCAACAGGCAAACACAATGGGGAAAGCTGGATGCAGTTTGTTTGGAGGGTCTAGCAGGGGAGCGCAGTATTGTATACCCTTGGATGAAGATTGGTACACCCCTTTTGTCTGGGATGGTCATTCTCTTCCACTGAGTGTGCAGCTTTGGGAGGGATACACATGGAGCAGTGAGTGACCCACGCCTAGCCAACTAGATCAACCAAATCAACCTGGCAATCAATGGGGTGACATGTTGCGGCCATATCGCCCTCACACAAAGCTGCATTTGTTTAATGACCCTATAATTCAACTAATAACTGCAGTGATTTGGTTAACAAAAAACGTTGCAAAATTAGGTGTGTCTCACTTAGTGACAGAAGTTCCAGTCCCAAATGCTGTAAATTGAGGACTACCTATATAGAAATTATGCTTATGAATGCCACTATTGAAAAGCAAGTTTTACCTTCATCAGCTGTTTCTCCATATGCATAGGTTAACATTTTATATTGCAGCAATTAACAAATGAATTGAACTGAGGCTTGTTAGTGTAACACATGTATAATGCACACTAATTTGGAAATTTGACACCTACCCTTTTTATTATAGAACATTTGCATTTTTTAATCCACTTGAAGTGTAATCCTGCTATAATCATCTTGATGAGCTTTTTGAGCTTCTCTGTGTTTGTCAGTGCTTTTCTATGCATTGAAAGAAAATAGAATGGTTGTAATTAACCAGTCCCCCCCATTTCTACTACCCAATACATATAAAAACTCAACAAGGATATTTAAAGTAGAATCATTTTGAGCAAAGCAAGTTTAGTACAATTCACAAAAACACTTTTAAGCTGCAATGATGATTAAAGGAGAAGTCATTAGCAAAATTTATTCAATGAAACTATGGTAAAATACCCCCCTTCTCCCTCATCCATCCTTCCCCAATCCCAGAAATAGTCTGAAGAAAAGGAATTTGCAGAAGTGGGAGAGCAGTCTCTGCTGCTGCCTTCAGAAACATCCTCAAGCAAACAGCCTGAATGAGACTAAGTTTCATGACTGGAAACAATGTTTCATTCATAAAGCCAGACCTCCCCCATTCACTAGAAAAGCACAGTAGCAGAATCTCTGAATAAGCAATACAACAGAAGCAAGCCGAAACTGATTAAATCAAACTGATAGGATTAGGCCACCCTGACAGCCAGTCACAACTTTGAGAAGGCAACAAAACAGGTGAAATGCTCCCGGTTCGGACTGAATCGCCCAATCCAGTAGAGATGGCGGCGGGTGGGTCAGAGAATCGGTAGCAAAAATCCCTGCACCACTCCCACCCCTCTCCACCATGCCCAGCTGAGCCGCACGATCATCAGAGGCTTTTTTTTTTAACTTTTCAAAGCATTTTTTTCTGCAACCTCTTGCCCGAAGAGGTGGTAAAAAAAATGCTTTGAAAAGTCTCTGACGATCCCAGCTGAGTTCCTGATCAGGAGAGAGGCTTTTCAAAGCATTAGAAAAAATGCTTTGAAAAGTTAAAAAAAAAAAAGTTGGCCACGCCCACCCAGGCACATTACCCCTCCCCCCTCCACCAAGCCACACCCACAGAACCGGTAGTAACAGATTTTACATTTCACCCCTGCAACAAAACAACATTAATTAAATAATAAAAGACACACAAATCCTAATTGCGAAACACCAGAAATTTATAAAAGCCCATCAATGCACCAAACCGACTCAGCTGTCCCAGAACCATTGCTGAAGTCGCTTCTGACACCAACAAAGAGAACCTTCTTTTCAAGCAGCTGGTTTCTCTCTTCATTTGGGATTACTGCCATTTTTCCCAGATGGAAACTTGAGCCAATTCTTCCTACAATTTTGGCAATCATGAAGGGAATCCCAGCTCACCTAACCATCAGATTGGCTCAGGTAAGCCTTCACCTAGCTGGCAGCAGACCTTTTTGTCGGTGGGTTCTTAAGATTGTGCCCGATCAGGAATAAGGTGGCAAAGGAAGTTGTGAGGCTTGCATTCAACAGCTGCTTGAAAAGAAGTTGAGTATCACTAAACTTACTGCCTTTCGGAGCCTGGGCGTGGTAAGTATGGAAACTGTGTGTGGGTGAATAGGAAAATCTCGCCACAGCTGGATCTCATCTCCATGCCTTTCTTAGCTGCAACCAGACTGACCAGTCCCACAGGACTATGACCTACATATCCTGGAAAGCAAGGGAGTTTAGCTGGAGTTTGAGACCTGTAAGCAGAAGGGAAGGGGTGTGAAAGAAGAATGGTGCGTGAGAGATTTGAATTTGGGCAACATACCTGGAATCACTGAGCAGAGCCTTACCCTCCAAGGAGGAATCCATATTCTGTAAAAAGCCAGAGTTCTCCCAGACCTTTCCGGTCTGAAAACTGCAGGTGAGGCTAGGGCTGAAAGATTGCTTTGCTGGGACAGAGGACTCCAGAGAAAGGAAGCAGGGAAAGAGGAAAAGGAGAGCTGAAAGGAGGGAAGACCTGAAAATGTTTGCAATTATGTGAAATGACAAGTGACACCCAAGCTTTCAGCTGCTAGATGAACAGCCGAAATGTTCTTAGTGTGAGAAAGAGGTGACATCTGAATCAAGGTGCCAACATTGCTTTAGATGTGGATGGGAGGGATATTTTCAAAAGGGATGTAGAGGCAGCTTTTCAGGACCCAGGAATCATTAACCCCTGCTGAGAGCCCCATTTCATCTTTTTACAAAACAATGTAAGTTTCTTTAATATTAAGATTTAAAGACCAACAAAATAGTTTCTAAATTTGCTTGGGTTATGGAAAGTGTTGAAAGTGACATCTCTTCTTCATTTGTTTCCTTTTAAAACAATCATTGGTGGCAGCATCAAGTATCAAGTACTGTCCCTTATAAGCATGGGTCTAATAAGAGCCAATTCAGACACTCAGGAAGATTCTTTTTTAAGCTGTTTGACCTCCAAATCTGTTCTAACAGTCAATAGGTAGATAGTTACTGAAGGCATATATCCTCAGTGACCTCTATTACTGACAAGGTGAGAACTCAAGCTAGAAGCAAAGCTCTTAATATTACATCACTAGTTCCAAGATAGTAAAAAGAAAATTCTTATAATTCACTATTGAAAAGAACAGTCTCCATTTCCTAAGAATTGTTCATTAGGTAATATTTTTTAGACTTTTTTTAGACTTAGACTTAGAATAACTTTGTTTGAATGTACACTAATCGTCATACATTAAAATAAAAATTCGTTGCACACAGTTCTCAAAGGGTCATCACCTCCAATATACACTACATAAATATGACTAAATAAATAAATAAATACAGAATTGTGCATATACCCATATATATTATATGACACAAAGAAACAACACAGTCTAATTCAGATGTATACATGTAAAATGAATCCTGCAAGTTTACCAGACGGATGGCGTAGGGAATAAAACTGTTACAGAATCTGGTAGTCCTGCTAGAAATACTTTGAAACCTCCTCCCAGAGGGGAGCAACAGAAACAGATCTTGAAGTGGGTGTGTGGGTTCTCTAACAATGCTTTGATATTTTCATCCCAGTGTCCCAGTGCCTTATAGTCAGTAATGACCCGAATACCTTGCCACATACGTCTTGTTTCCATAGGATCTTGAAAAAAGTTCTATACTTTCTGACTATATGCCCACTTTGTTGTTTTTATAGCACATTTCAAATCAGCTCTTGCTATTCTAAGTGCTGCCACATCACCTGATTTGAAAGTGGCGTTTCTCATCTTCAACATCGCACAGACCTCCTGTGACATCCAAGGTTTCTCATTTGCTTGTATGACAAAAGACTTAAGAACACTGACATGCTCCATATAAGCAGACACAGTAGAAGCTTATTCATTCACAACAGTATGTTGTCCATTTGTTGCAGCCTCTTTAAATATGTTCCAATTAGTACACTCAAAGCAATCTTGTAGAGCTTCCATAACTCCTGCTGGCAATACTCACTTGTTTTCTAATTGGTTTCCCTCTAAATTAACAAAGGTTTATATGCTGGCATAAATATCACAGAGAGATGATCTGAGGAGCCAGAATGAGGGTTGGGGCAGCCTTAAATGCTTTCTTGATGTTAGAGTAATTTAAGTCCAGGATGTTCCCAATCCTAGGGGCAAAGTCCACATATTGATGGAAATTAGAATATTTATATGATTTTTTTTTTATAATTGCCTTAACTTTACGTGAGTTGTAAACTTTTCATATATATTTTTAATGAGAATCAATTTGGTATCATGGTTAAAGACTATCTGTGTCTTTAAATCATCTGAAGGTGATCTTAGGAAACCAAGTAAAATTGAAAGCAACCATCTTCCCTTTTAAAAGAAACAATAAACATCAGATTCTTTTCAGCAGTGTGATTTTTCATTGCATTTGCAGTGCCTGTACTTTGCACTATAAAATTTTAATGTATTATATTCATCACAACTGAAATATCTTTTTAAAAGAAAAATCATCAAACTTCCAAGCTGAATCCTTTGATTAAATGACACTTTCATTACTTCAGCCTTACAAGAGCTAAATCATTATAAGGAAATAATTCCAGAGGAATTTATTATTTGGTTAGAAATGGTGTGGAAGAATCCAAAGCACAGAGGCCACCATAACAAACATAGTCTTTTACATATTCTTGAAAATGTACATAAGGGTTGATAAATTTGAAGGCAAAATC